TGGATTACAAAAAATTCGATCATGGATTACAAAAAATTCTATCATAGGGTTACAAAAAAAAAAAAAAAAATTCGAATCATGGATTAAAAAAAAAAAAAACAATCTGCTCATGGATTACAAAAAAATCGATCAAGTATTACAAAAAAATCTATCATGGATTACCAAAAAAATAAAATAAAAAATAATAATAATAAAAAATAAAAATAAATTATGTTCTTCCGTACGGACTCGCCGATTCCGTACAGTGAATCGGCGAGTCACTGTGCAGAATCGTCCGGTTCTCTCTAGAACCGGACGATTCCCGTTTTTTTCACCCATTCGAACCGTTCGTGGCGATTCCCGAGTCCGGTTCGACTCGGCGTTTTTTTAAACACTGCTCAATCTTATCGGATGTTAGATATAGGTTACACAATGTATTCTCTATATGTACACAAAATTCTCTATTGGTCCCGGTTTCTATACGGCCAGGCCCATGCACGTAAAAATGCGGGCTTCTTAATAAATCTAGTCTTGAGATGGATTTGAAGGCTTAATTTTTAAAGACATTTAATCTCTAACATAAAGATCATGAATATGAAAAAATAAAATTTAAAAATTAAAATTAATAATTCCAGAAAAGAAAACATTTGGACCATTAGTTTTCATTGTTTTTTAGATGGAACACCTACTTGCCTCCATCTTTACGATAGATGCTTTACACTTTCTGGACCGCATATATACAAATGCGGTCCAGCCTGTATGAAACGATTTTCCTTCTCTATTTGTGTTCCCCCAAGCTTTCTGCCCATGTTGTCCCAAGGTTTTGACTCGTGCTGTTCTTATTTGTTTTCCATTTCTACTTCCATAACATCATTCCCATGGTTTGTCCTGCCAAACTTTGCTATTATCTTAATTGAATATCACAATTCAATCTGACGAATCGACCCAAAACGACTTACTATTGTTTTTCATCTTTCTCAACCTGATTTCCCCCAAATATTAAAGGGTGCGGTTTGTATAAGGCCGAGGCTCTAAACAAATAAAATGCACCTTCAAATAGTATTGAGAAATGTGGTTTCAATATTGGAAATTTTTGTGATAGCCTTAAAATATATTTTCATCTCTAATTATAAAATTTAAATCTTAAAAAATAGCGTAGATCTATAAAAACTTGAAAATTTTGAAAATCTTGAAAATTGATGGTACAAAAATGTATTACAAGATGCACTATTTCCAAAACTTGAAATCTATTTTTTTTCTCATGTCCATGCATCTTGAGGTCGAGATGATGAATTTGAAGATTTTTAAGCATCAAAACAATATCTTCTAGTGAAAATTTTGAGGTGCGCTAATTTGATTGTTTAGAGCCTCGCATTAAATAAACTTTATTGATGTCCGCAAGGTGAGCTCCAAGAATAGATAACTACCCCACATGGCTATATCCACAAAAATAACACCAATCAAAGTAGTTTTGGTAGCTTAGCCCACTCAAAATAAAGGCGCTCTCTAGATTCTAGCTATAATTGATATAGTAACTAATGTTAAAAAAAAAAAAAAAAAAAAAAAAATTAAAATTGCTCTAGTAATTGACAGTGCCCAAACTCGGCTAAAAACCTATGCAAAAATCAGGGCACATCCGAACTTAAATAGAGATCATGGCAGTCAATATCCATGCCCAGTCTCACAGCCAAATTGCCCTTATTTTTGGAGTGATTCATGCTCAAATTTGGAAAAGGTTTACGAATATCTATGCCTCGCGTGTTTCCCAAATCGCCTCCAATTTGGTGCGGTTTCACTTGATCTAAATTTCCGGAAAATTTGGTCGATCTCTATGCATAGTGTGCTCGTAAATGGTCCCTAATTTGGTTTGGTTTCTGAGCTAAATTTGGGGAAATTTTAATTTCTCGCCTAAATTGGGGGGAATTTGTCGGAGCCGACAATTTTGCATCTAGTTTTTAAACTAAGAGCCAAAGACACGGCGGCGGCGGCTAACGGCCAACGGCTGCTCAGTCCTTCAAATGACACGTGTCCACCGCGATTAAAAATGCCCTGTACGAATAAATCTTCGCCGTTTGATCTCTGACGATATCTTAACCGTCCGATCTCTGGTCTCTGTGCAATGGTTCTCAATAAAGCCAGGAGGGAGAGAGAGAGCAGCCAAATCATTTGACTTTGGAGTCCTCTCTCTTTATGCATCATTACACCCGTCTGAAAGAATGCTTTTCTTACTCTGAGAGTTTTCTCTCTCTAGATAAAAACTACTACCTAGTCTTGCACGAATTCTGTCTCTAGTTTCGTTCCCATAACAGGAAACCGTGAGGGAATTCTCTTTCTAAGATTTTGTGTCATCTCAATAATTCATCTGAAGCTTGCTCTTCAGTGGTCGGTTGGATAATCCATTCCAGGTTTGGGGTCTTTGGTGTGAAACCGATGCTTTCTCTCTCTAGCTTCGGAGAAATGCTCTCTCTCTCTAGCTTTATCTTTCCCTGGAAGAAAGCCTAGATAGAGCTTCATTTCCATAGACAGAGCATCGTGTTCTTTTTGTTGTTTTCTGGTTGAGCTGGTGAGTGAATTAGGGTTTGGGGTAATCTCTCTGCGACGAATGCCTTTTCATTGCTGTTTACTTTCTCTCTCTGACTCTGTAAATCTCCTATTTCCAGATAGAAGTTTGAGTCTCATTCATTATCTTAGCCGAAAGAACCTTCAGAGTTTCTCTATCACCATGCCCGGTTCACTGCATGGACAAAACTAGAGTTTGGTCTCTTTTGTTCAATACAAATGCCCACTCCTTGCTAGCTCCTTCTCGCTCTTTATAAAGAGCATAGAAAGAGCTTCTTTTTATAGGTCGATTTCATTCTCCAAGAAGCCCTAGCTTTGCTCATCTGTGTTCTGGTCAAATCGATTGTGGAATTACGGTTTGGGTGAGGGTTTGTAATGGATCCACCAGAGCAAAAAGATGTTGTTATGGGGGAGTCAGAGATGGCTCAGCCAAACACTCAGCAACCAGGCATGGATGTCCCATCGGTTACCACTCACGGTGGAAGGTTTGTGCAATATGATATATTTGGGAATGTGTTTGAGGTCACTGCTCATTACCAGCTCCCAATAATGCCAATTGGGAAAGGAGCTTACGGAATCGTTTGGTATGATATCTGGTTCTTAAACCATAGCTTTTGGTTTTCTTTTCTTGTTTTGTTTGTTCTCATTTCCTTTGGGTTTAGATTTTAGTTCTTTATCCAATTAATCAAAGCACTTATAGTCCGATATTTGTTTGGCATTTGTCATGGGCATTCAATAATTTTCTTGGCAATCAGTGTGGGTTAGAAACTCCCCCAAAAAGGATTCTTTGACAATTTAGAGAAGAACTCGTACGGAAATTATTGGAATGCCCCAAAAATAAAAATCAAGTTAGATGCATTAGTGTGGGGATTGTCTTTAAGGGAGTATCTGTAAAAGATGCAATTTATTTCTCTTTTCTTAATAAAATTTCTGAAACTAAATTAGTTGAAAACATGCTATTTCAGTTCTAGGAGCATGATATATTTTTGGTTTTGCTGGTGAAAAAGAATTTCTGCTAGTCCAATGGCGCTGGTATCTGCTTGGTTCTTCACCTGTTTTCATGATTATTTATGGAAATGGAAAATTTGACTTCTTCTTTTTTTGGAAATGGTATTTAGGTTTATATTTGTTTCAAATATTTTTCTCTCTTTTACTATGATTCTGGGTCCTATCCTATATGTGCTTTTCATTTTTTTTGGTTTATTTTATTGGTAATATATGCTTTGCGCCTCTCCTTTTTATCGGTGACCTGTGCTTCCATTTATTTATTTTTTCTTTGTCTATAATCTGTACTTATTATATTTGTGTAAGCACTGTGAATACACTCTGATGGTCGTGGGTTGGGAAGCTTCCCCAAAGGTGGGTCCGGGGGTTGTATAAATTGGAATTCTAGAAATGTTCCACATTTTAGATGCTAAATTGGGAAGGCCATGCTCATTGAGAAGAGATTAGGCAAAGCAAATGAGCATTATTTTCTCTTAGCATGTCGTTACACACGTATAAATAAATGCACATACACTCAATTGTGGGGGACTTGAATCTGTTGGATATCATGATTCTTTTTATTGGATTAATGTTTGTGTTCCTTGTGATTGTTTTGGTGCGGTTTGGGGTTCGATGGATATTATTTAATATGGGCTTATTTAGATTTATTCAACTGTTTGAAGCTCTGCCTTCAATTCAAAGTTGAATGAGCTTGTTGCGATAAAAAAGATTGCCAACGCATTCGATAACAAGATGGACGCCAAGCGCACTCTTCGAGAAATCAAGCTTCTTCGACATATGGATCATGAAAATGTAAGCTATTGATCAGGAGCTTCAGATTTTTTTTCCCTTTGTGTTTTCTTGGTATATACTTGAATGCTTAAGTAATGTTCTCCTCTGTTGACATTTTTCAAATCTATAAGCTTTAGTTAGTTGCAACTTGCAAATTTAGGATCTGTAAAGACTAAGGACACTTGTTCCTTTTTTATGGTCAATTATAAGGACCCTTTTTATAGTGATGTTATTTGTTGATGGTCAAATGTAACTGACATAATTCATCTCCTAGAATTATTATTTTCTGGTGTCCTCAGATATTAGTATGGTTGGTAAGTAAATGGTATTCCTGGATATTGTTACTTTAGAAGGCAGGCATTACTTGAAAGACCTTGGGGCCTGTAAGATTCCTGTTGCGCTGTTGAAGTTGGCATCTATTCAACTTGTTGTTGTATGGGTAGCAGTACCTTACCTTTTTTGGGTTAAAATGCATTCTTTTTGGTATTCAAATTTTGTAATGAGCCATCTGGAGCAAGAAAAATGAAAAACTTTATTAATAGAAAATCTCATGAGCCTTTTCTTACTTGAAGAATGATATGGTGTTGCAAACGGCTCACAGAAAAGTTAGGCCCTTATAACTACTTGTTTGATTCCTGGCATTTAGTGCTTTTATGGAATTGTATATTTTGTCTACTTGCAATCGTGATCTTTTGCTTTGCTAGAAGAAAAAAAAGGCAATTTCCTCTTTAGACACTCCTGAAGTTATTTTTACTACTTTCTGTTTCTGCCTTTTGCATGAATAATCTGTAAGAACTTTGGACACTACACTGAGCCATGTAATGTGTTTTTAGCCACTAAAATCATTGTTTCCGTGTCATTCCACTCCTTGGCTTGTGCTTCATGTCGACCCCTGGGCATGGAATTAGTTAAAAATTATGATGTTCATGGTAAGATTCAAATGCAAACCATTTTCCCTTGCCATCCTATGCTGGACCAGCTCCCCATCCACTTCTTATGTGTCATAAGAAGGGAAATTATATTGTAGATACTAAAAATACAATATTTTATTTATAAACAATAATTGTACGGATGTGCCCAGCTGTATCAGCTTTTCAGACGGACACCTAAGATACATGTAGGCAATGTAATATTGAGTAAAAGGTGTATTACCCACGTGCCATCCAAAGTTTGCTTTTGCATTATTCTTTGCTGATATGCTCATTTTTATGGACCTTCTACACTTTTGTGTGACAAATTGTATTTGACAAATCTTTTGAACTGAAACCTGGCCTTAGTTTTTATTTGTTTAAAAAGAAAAAGGGAATGCTTTCTATGTTCCCCTTACGACATAGAAGTTCTATCCTCTCCCTACCATCCAGCCGTCCATTTTTTATCAAGAGAGCCACTCACCGTTTGATTTTAGATCCGACGTCTCAAAGTATTTTATTTTTAGTTTTTTTAATACAATTTTTCCGAATATGAAATTTGGTATGTACCATCTTCTCATTGGGATGCACCTATAAAAAATATTTACAATAATTTTTCGATAAAAAATAATGACCAAAATACCCCTTGAAACTTTCAGGGGTATTTTGGTCATTTTATTTTATTGAAAATGTTGTTTTTATATTTTTCGTTAGTGCGAGTTTAATAGAGGAATGGACGTCCAAAATTTGGTGTCAAAACAGTTTATAGAAAAAAAAATAAAAATAAAACAGTGTGGAAACGTGACATTGTGATTGGGGCAATCTTAGCCCTCCATTAAAAAATGGACTGTTGGATAAGGGGAGGATAGAAATTCTATGTTGTAGGGGGAATGTAGAAAGCTTCCCCAAAGAAAAATGTCGGTCCTTCCACCAATCCTTGGATTACTTATTCATTTAAGTGGCATTTTTATGCACCTTCTACATTTTATTGCGACAAATTTTATTTGACAAATCTTTTGAATTGAAACTTGGTCTTAGTTTTTAGTTTGTTTAAAATGAAAAATGTCGGTCCTTCCACCAATGCTTGGATTACTTATTCATTTAAGTGGAATTTATTGTTTCATTTATCTGGGAATGGAAAAGTATGAGAATATTCTTCATTTGAAATCGGAAAAGTTTGATAGTATTCTTCATTTGAAATCAGACTATTTTTGTCTTTTAAAGTGTGTTTTTGTGTAGTTAAATGATATTGAACCTCTTACATTCTAGATCCAAGTAAATTCCTTGTTCTTGATCATATGTGTCATTGCCTCTTCCAAGTCAGTTAAGTTAATGCCATAATATGGTTCTATTATCTTGGCATTAGGATGTCCAATATGTCAGCTATGGGCTGTAGATGTTTCTAATTCCATGGAGCTGAACATTTTTGTTTTTTTATTGTTAAATTGTATGGAGATGAACATACCCATGCCCTTTCATTCTGAATAGCTGTCTTTTGGGTTTGTTTTGCAGGTTGTGGCAATTAGAGATATAATTCCTCCTCCTTCTAGGGAGACCTTTAATGATGTTTACATTGCTTATGAGCTCATGGACACTGATCTCCATCAGATCATTCGCTCTAATCAAGCCTTATCAGAGGAGCACTGCCAGGTTCGACTTGAAATGATGCTTAGGACTTTCTTATTCTTCCAGCATCGGCATATTTTCTTTTCCTTTTTCTTTCTTCACTTGTTGCAAGAAAAGGATTTACCCGGAACAATTCATACATATTTCTAATCCTAAATTCCTAATAAATGTTCTTTATTGTTGATGCAGAAAGATTTTAATAATAAACAATTATGTACTTGGTAGGGATCAACTGTGTGCGCTGCTTATGTGATAACTGGGGTCTCTATTCTTTCTTCTATTGCATTCATTATTTAGCATAAATTGCTGGAATATTTGGAAGTTCCCTTCACCCATTTCTTATCAATAGTTCGTGATTTCTTAAGCCCCTCAATCTTTTGTTCATGTTTTGAAGACTGATGGTGACGCTGTGTATCTGCGGATCATTCTATATTATTTATAAAATAAATGGAGATAATGGCACCTACAATCTAGAGAGCTATGCTTTGAGGGATTTGTTATATTCTTTGTAGTATCGGAGAAAATTCTTGGGTATTCAAGAGGCAGTTATTGGGAGGCTGTTCCTAAGAGGTAGCTTTGGTATCTAAGGAACTAGATGGAGCAAGGATGAATAATCTATATAAGGATTGTTGTGGGGTCTCGTGGTCTGGTTTCATCCCAGGGCAGCTTATCACTCATGCCACTTACATGTCATGAAGTTGAGTTTTCATGACACTTGAAGGGAATCACAAGGTAGAGAGGGATTTTTAGGTATGATAAGAGGGTAGTGGTAAAATGTTGTGCTTGCTTGTTGTGTACAATGTGTATCTACTATATATAAAGCAGGAGTTAGGCTCGTGCAAACACGTCGATCGGAATAGGTTCGATAGGTTTGTGCGGAAAAATTGTTTTATTAATGAGCGCATATACTATGCTCCCATGGGAGCATACTATGCATCTCCTTCCTTGCACAAAACATCTATTTAGGTGAGTTTTCTTAGTATAAAATTTTGGGAAACACACAATAATTACTAAACTATTTTTTAAAGGGTGCGGTTTGTATAGAGCCTAGGCTCTAAACAATCAAATTAGAGCCTATCTTCAAATAGTGTCGAGAAATGTGGTTTCAAAACTAGAAAGATTTGTGATAGCCTTAAAATATGTTTTCATCTCTATTTATAATGTTTAAAGCTTAAAAAATAGTGTAGATTGACAGATCTATGAAAACTTGAAAATTTTGAAAATTGACGGTCCAAAAATGCATTACAAAAATACTATTTCCAAAACTTGAAATCCATATGTTTCTCATGTCCATGCATCTTGATGTTGAGATGATTAATTTGAGGATATTTGGGCATCAAATCGATCTCTTCTGGTGAAATTTTTTGAGGTAGGCTCTAATTTGATTATTTAGAGCCTTGGCTCTATATAAACTTTTCCCTTTTTTAAAAGAAAAATTTGAATTTTAAGTTTTATGACACTTAGATCTATCCTTCCAAAAACTGGACAGTCTCTATTTAATCTTGAGGCATAAGTGTTTTTTAGGACATAGAGAGTTTATTTTGGAAATCGTTTTTTGCCGAGAGTATTTCATGGGTTCTAAAGATTACATCCCAAAATTTGAGATCCAAAAAGCATCTATAGAATATATTTTGCCTCGAGGGAGGAAATGGATAGTATCCTCCCATAGTAGGAGGAATGTTTTGGCTTTATTAATTACAATACCATAGGGGTCAGCACAAAAAACATGGAGATATGATATTTAAGAGATGGGTGAAATAAAACATAAATAAAAGAAGGGTTTTATTTGCCGCATACCAATGAAGCTGAAGGGCAAGTTCTATAGGACAGTTGTGAGACCAGCTTTGCTCTATGGGGCGGAATGTTGGGTGGACAAAAAACAATATACCCATAGAATGAGTGTAGTGGAGATGAGGATGTTGGGATGGATGAGTGGCATGACAAGAAGGGATAGAAGTCGAAATGAATCCATTATGGAGAATTTAGGTGTGGCACCAATAGGTGATAAGATGAGAAATAGTAGACTTAGGTGGGCTGGTCATGTGTGGCCCCGACCAAGTACAACACCTGTTAGGAGGTGCGAGTTAGTTCAAGTAGAAGGATTGAAAAGGCAAGGGGTAGGCCCAAAAGGATGTGATTGGAAGTAGTTTGAAAAGATATGGGAACTTATGGCTTCACTGAGGATATGACCTTTAATAGAGCAAAATGACGAACTAGAATTCGTGTAGCCGACCCCAATTAATTGGGAAAAGGTTATGATGATGATGATGATGAAAAGAACGGTTATGTTAGGGTGCTCACACCATAGAGTATTTTATAATTGTAGTCAACAAATTTTGAACACTAATATATCATTGTTTTGTAATACAATATTTTTAGTAAGGGTGAGGAACAATGTAAATCCCTTCCATCATCATGCCCGCAGAGCTGGAAGACGAGAGATTCGAGTATCTAAACATGGTAAGGACCATTAGATAACAATAGATATGCTAGAGTTCCGTGGCCACCTTGATCTGAAAGCTCCTTTTTCTATTAGATCAGCACGATAGAGAACTTCTTCAAATGGAAGGATCTCTAGGAGTATAAATGGTTGAAATTTGTGGCTACTAGATTCTGCGGTCATGCATCAATTTGTTGATGTTGATGATGTCATGCCCATCCTAATGATAAAAAATACCCTTTCTAAAAAATTCTTCATGTACAAAACAAGAGTATATAAGTGTCCAAAATTTGTTGAGTACAATTATGAATGCTCTATAGTGTGAGCACCCAAACATAACCCATAAAAGAATAGGTAAAAGGCAAAGCTGCCAAATTAAAAAAAAATAGAGAGAAGAAAAATGAGCCTATTTTATAAGGTAACCATGGTATATTGAAGGAACTAATAGTCATAATATAACATGCAAATGGATGGTACAGTTAACAACATAAAAAAAATAAATACAAATGGATAGTATGTTCCCTTGGATATATGATCCTAATAAAGACTTCAATTTCAATTTCTTTCCTTTTAAATTACTCATTTAAAGTAGATCTTATATTTTAAATACATAAGACACTCCTAATTAGGTTTTTATTTATTAATATGGATCAAGTATACAGTTTGTTTTGAGGGAACACCTAGGCAATACTTTTACATACAAAGGAGCAATGTAATATAGTGCAAAAGTTGAATATTGTGTATCTTTTAGTTTTTTTGTATAAAATAGTTGTTGACTGCACAAATTATAATATAGATGTGTGTTAACACGTGATTATGAAAACTAATCAGACTAATCGATGTCGGATTTGTTTGAGAGCATGTTTAAAATTAATATTTAATGAGTCGAGAGAGGTGGGTTTCGTCGAATTCATATCTATAGGGAAATCAGCCTTAAAGACCTATTATTTGCAGATCTGTGGCCGAGCTAGCTTATGTAGCGTGAAATCCGAAAGAAACAAATATTTAAGAAAACAAGAATAACATAACTACTAAAACAATAAAACTAAGTCGTGATAAAATTAAAGGAAGTAATAAAGCAAGAAAAAATAAAGAAAATAAAGCAGAAAAGAAAGAAGGAACTTGGGCATGCATGTGCACTACCATCTTACAAAGATCTTCTAGGATTTGAGATCTAATGTTATTTTTCTTGCTAATTTTGATAAAAAAATATCGGTTTGACAAATCTTGTAATATTTACTCTCTAATTTGCTTAGGAACCTACTTATTTTGGGTGATTTAGTCTCTTAAGCTAAGGATTTGGGATTTATAAGGATATCTGGCTTCCGAAAATGTGATATTCCGGATCATTGGCATATTCTTGGAGTATTCAAGGGTGGACTATGGTTTAGTGTGTCCTCCTACAGTGTTCTGGGGTAGTGTGATCCAGGGTACTAGAGTTCAGAGATAAAATTAAATTTGGTTGGAAGTCTACAAAATGGTGACAATAAATCACGAGTTTCATGATGACACGAATAGTAGTAGCCAGTGTTTCAAAACCTGAATAGCTGGGGTGGATCATCCTGCCCAAAACTAATGTTGGGAATTGCTAATTTGTGACCATTTTTTTTAATTTTCTGCACCTACATTTGTTACTTCAGTAAAATGTAATGCAAATAGCAATCCCACTAACATGTAGTTTAAATTTGAGTGTATAGAGAATATGAACTTACCAAACCTTTTGTGTACCTTTGACTCTTGATTTGGAATCACATGCTTTTAATTTAACATGCTTTGGAGTAACATACTTTTGTTCTGATAAGCTTTTATTTTTTCCCTTTTTTAACTTAAGACTTTCAAGCATTTCTCTTTATAATAACTTCTAGTTAATTTGTAAGGCTAACATTGAAAACTTAAAAGTTGAAGATAAGTTTATTTTAGTGAGCTAGAAAGCTTGGTAATTACATTGGATGACAAAATATGTTTGGGCATTGGAGGACTAAAGAGGTATATTGATTCTAAGTGATGTTTTTTACGTTATATAATACTAGTTAATATTATAATATTCAATTTAACAACCTCATAAATTATAGGCAATGCACACGCTCTTGTTAGTCTTTTATGATAAAGCCTCAGGTATTGCAGCTAGGTCATTAGGTTTTTGCGGTGAGGGTTTTGCAGCTAGGTCATTAGGTTTTTGTGGTGAGGGTTTTCCTTTAAAACAAGGATTAAATATAGTTTCCAATGGTAGAAATTCGCCTTGGTACAATTGATCTCCCTCCATCATTTGGAAAGGATGGTGAGTGCTTGTGATTGAGGGTGGTTATCGGGTTGGGTTGACCTGCAGACTGGTGGGACAATGCAAGCTACGTCAGGGTCGGGTCCGTGCTCGGGTCTGGCTTGGACCCTATTGGGTCAGGTCTGGGTCCTAGTTGACCCAACCCAGTATAAAATATATAATCCTATACAGGCGGGCATCTACTGCAATGCAAGCAGCATTGCTTGCCACCACCCGATAAGCAAAAGATTCGAGAGTAAAGCCGGAAAATACATGCATAGATAGTGGTGTGACTGTTTAACCAATCATCGAGGTCTGTGTCAAGACTCAGGACTGGGTCCAAATGACTTGTGCACAACCAGGATTCGAGTCAGGTGACTTGGACCTGACCTAGCTGAAGATCCTATTTGGGTCAAGATCACCTTACCTGTGATGTATAAATCTCTAGGTACCATGGTGTGTTATATTCTTCCTTATAAATATACGCAAGTATGGTGTTTGTGCGGTTACGGTATTTTGTCATTTTTCTGAATATTTCTCTACATAGATATTATAAAGTCATTTTTTGTTCATCGACTAAGTAATAAAGGAGTATACTCCTCCTTTACCGAGATCAGTTGTTTTTCTTATTCTTAATTTCATTTTGACAAGTGGCGAAATTGTTTTTGCTATTGTAGAAAAACTAATCTAACTACATCTTATTTTTCTAAAACTTATGCTCAGAAGTGGTGTTGTTAATATTATGATTACTACCAACAACAACAGTACTACTGTTTGTTGTCATTACATCATTATTATCACTATTAGTTTTCGGAATCAATGAAAATAAGGGCAGCTATGTCCAAATTGCATGATCACTAGCCATTTAGATTTCTTATGTATATGGTTCAATCCAATATTTCTGTTTCTATATACGTTTCTAAAACATTTACATTATTCTCACCTGAAATCTGATTGATTTCTGCTGAAATTTCATTGCAGTACTTCCTCTATCAGCTTCTGCGTGGTTTGAAATACATTCATTCTGCAAATGTTCTTCACCGTGATTTAAAGCCTAGCAACCTCCTTTTGAATGCCAATTGTGATTTAAAGATATGTGATTTTGGGCTTGCTCGTGTCACTTCTGAGACCGATTTCATGACAGAGTATGTTGTCACAAGATGGTACCGGGCACCTGAACTGCTGCTAAACTCAGCAGAGTATACAGCTGCCATCGATGTCTGGTCAGTTGGTTGCGTTTTTATGGAGTTGATTAACCGCCAGCCGCTATTTCCTGGAAGAGATCATGTGCACCAGCTGCGTTTATTAATGGAGGTAGTCATCTGTTGTTTCTTGGCAGTTAGTTAACATTGTTAGTATTTGAAAATGCACAAGTATAGAAATTGTGCATCAAAAAAATGTTCTTCTTAGGGAATGGCTAAAATACATCAAAATAGTAGTTAGTGGCTTTACTCTTATGCCAAATCAGATTTTCCACCTAGAAATCCCTCTCTCAATAGTGAAAGCATATTTTATTCATTGCTCTAAAATGCATGCTATAACTTCAATATTTTATTGGTAAGTGCTTATATATATATCTTTACACACATATTATCTTTTTTTTTTTTTAGAGATGTCTTTACACACACATTATCACAGTTATACTCTATTGTTCTATTAAACAATGATCTTGTAGCAAAGGGAAGTACATCTTCACATATATGCATTACCTTGTGTGCATATGTTTGTTTTTCTCTTTCTACAATATGAGATATGGGACCTAATATCAAACACAAAATATAAAATCTCAAGCCAAGCGGGCTCAAATTACTGTATATATTTACCTATGTTTGTATTTCCTTCTTGTACATGATCTTTGAGCATTTCATATGCAGCTTCTCTATGGTAGCTACGAAAAATATGTACCGCTTCATTGTAGATTAGCATGCGTTTTTTCATCTAAGCTTGTTATGAAACTGGGACAACTCAGTCCTCATGACCTTGCTATCATGAAGCATGACATGTTAAAAATGTCTGACATTTCGTACTCAGGTTACAAAGATATTTTTTCCTTTTATTGTCATTTTATGAAAATGATTCTATTGGGTCATGCTCATGTTTTAGTAAACATCCATTGGAGTCGAATTCTTTTCAATGGTTTGCTGAAATCCTTGAAATTGTCAAGGAGATTCTCAAATGGACACGTTGAATTGAGTGAGTCATATTAATGCCTAAAGTAGGCATGTATATGTGCTAAACAAACTTTCCAAAGAGGGTTCCATACACAAAACCAGTAAATGAGTAGGGGAATTAATGCTTCTTATTGTTTTAAATTTAAACGATGGCCGAAACATCTATTATTGAGAAAAATCATTTGCTTCCTGTTTCTATCAATCAACTTTATTGAAATAATCCTGTCATGCCCTCTTTATTAAAAAAAGGACCAGTTATGTAGTACTCTAGTCTTTTAAGGAGATTAGTATTCCCCCTCCCTAATGTTCATTTAGGGCACATTTGTTAACTGGAAGCTGGGGAATTCATGGAACCTGGACGTTCTAGTTCCTTGGAAGCTGGAATTATTGATATCCGGAAGTTTTGGAATACTTGTTTGATAACCTACATGGAAGTTCTCAAATACAGATAGCAGGCTTCACAGCAAATCTAACAAAGATTCAGAAGGTTAGGCTTCAAGGCTTCTCAGAGAGAGAGAGATAGTGACACACACACACACACACACACACTTAGAGAGTGAGTACTTAGAGAGAGGAGTGAGAGAGAAAAAGGGCATATTTAGAAAGAGAAAGGAGTTAAGAGAGATAGAGGGCACAGTAGCCCTCTATTTTTGAGGTGGTAGATGGTGAGGGCCTTGTACAAGACTGTGACCCACCTGACTCCTTGAGACTTTCGTGGTACTACCGGACTAGTATCTACCCTATTGAAGAGGCCATTGTGTTGTGTACCCTGTCACCATGGATCAAAGGTTAGGCTAAAATATAGCGGTGTCCTTTCTGTTGGGAATTGGCAGAACTGGTGTATCCTATTTTGCAAGTTCAGAAATACATCAATGTTGAGAGTCTGATAGTCTTCTAATCTTTTGTTTTTCATCTTGATGGACCATTCCTTGTGTGATCTCTTGTCGGAGACAAGGTCTTTGACAGTGGCATCCAGGAAAGATATACGTGCAAAGACCTCAGGGAACTCAATACAAAAAGGATGTGTTCCCAATGATTTAGTTGTCCATAAGCGTGTAGAATTCCCACCCCATGAGAGCTTTTCTGTTTTTGGTAAAGGTGGAGTGACATGCATCAATACCCCTTCAAATTCCAGATACCCTTGACTGTGTCCTAATGCCTTTAGCCAGCTAACAATCAGTTCCATACTTTTCTAAGACCACCTCCCTCCAAAGGTGGGACATTGCCCATCTCTATTGCATTTGGCTGGTAAAACACTGTTTATTTGTTGCAGTTTCTTGATTCTCAAATTCCTGTCTTTCTTACGTGCAGATACTTTGTCCCACCTAACCTGGTGGAATCTCTCCTGTATGTTGGTCCATCCTAAAGGCACATCTTCATCAGATCCTCAAGGTGACTTGCTATGCCAGCCCAAACTTTAAAACTCAACATAAAGTAGACCCGCAGATTGGCCAATGCATATTTGATAAGCATAATTTTGCCTTCTAGGAAAAGAAATTTGGCCTTGAAAAGGTTCATCTTTCTTTCAGTTTTCTCCTAGACTCTGTAAGGACTTTGACGATCTAACCTACAGAGAGGGACTGAACGAGGTTCTCACAGGTTAATTTATCTGGATCACTGCACACAAGGCTTGCTAGATGTTTCATCTCTATTTAAATAAAGCCACTCGTGTAATCTTTGTCTTGCTCATGTTCACCCTAGTCCAATCACCCCGTCAAAGCACCGGAGGAAGAGCCACAGGCTAAGCATTTTAAGAGGCATTGAAATTTGTGTCATCTGCACAGTGCAGGTGTGACACTATAGAACCCTATCCGTTGACTTAAAACCAGAAAAGTCGCTTGCCAATGGCTTGAGCAATCAATTTGATGAGCAGTTATCCTATGATACAAAAGAGGAATGGGGTGAAAGTGGTTCCTCCTGTTTAATTCCTTTAGAATAATCGAAGAAGCCCTTAGCACAACCATCGACGGGGATGGAGAAGTGAATCAGCGAGAAATAACCTCTGATCCAAAGTCTCCAATTCCTGCCAAAGTTTATAATCTCCATAAATTTCATTAAACCTTCTCTTGGTCCAGTTCATAAACAATCCGAGGGTGATGTCTATGTGCACTTCACATTCATGAGTGACTAGAATATTATCCAAGACCTGCCACTCCTTAACCGAAAGCAGTATGAGGCGGTTTGAACTACCCTTAATTTAGTAACTAGGGCCTTAGCCAGGTTTTATACAAGCTTTCTTGAAGACTAATTGGCAAATATCATCAAGGGAGTCCATTCATACTTTTTCGGGGACTAAAGCAATGAGGAAAGCATTAATGACTTTGTTGATGCTACCTCTATGATAAATTTTTTGAAACATCAGGAGTAGATTCCTCTTATAAAGGTCCCCGAAATGTTGGAGAAAACTGTCGGTAATCTATCTGGGCATGGAGCTTTATCTATGCACAAGATGAAAATCGCTTGTGATTTTGATTCGTTTTAGGAATTGAAATCGCAGAATTGCATGTGCCAGATGATTCCTAACCTCGGTATCGCTATCTATACAATAAAAACCATCGGAGGCGTGACTCCCAATATTCGGAATTGCGATCCAATAAAATAAAAACCGTGGTTCTTATTTGTAGGAATCGGAATCCCATCATGTTGGAATCGAGTCTCCTACCTTTCAGCAATCTCACATGACCCCACACAATACAATGACTTCTGGAATCGCAATCCAACGAAATAAGTAATTCTAATTCCTACATTATTGGAATCATTGCCCCCATCAATTGGGAATTGATTCCCACTAATCATGAATCTTGCACCCATCTCCTCCGGTATAGGAGAGAAGTATTTTGTGAGAAAAGATTTAAAGTTTTACATAGATGATTGGGGATAGATATAGATGATACCATAACTTGATCCAAATTATCTATGTACAACCAAGCAAATAAATTAGATGATACCATAGCTTGGTATTAGCATGAAAGACTAAGATGTTGCAATTTCCTCAAAATCTAAAGATTGCAAGTGGCCATGAATTTCGATCACTATTAAGCTCTTTTTTTTCCGCTTTTGGGGGTTTAATTCCATACCCAACCAAATATACGGTAAGACAAATGAATGATAAGCATTTTACTTAATACCATTGATGATCAGTATTAAGCATTTTATTGATCAACCACCGAATATGCCCCACCTAATCCTTTATTGGACTGTAAGTACCTGGTTATTGCAAGCATCCTATGGAACATCTTACCTTGAGGGTGGGGTTGCCACCCAAACGTTTTACCTTGTGGTGGGACTGCCACCCACTTCGTGATTTATAAATTGATAAATCTGTTGTGTAACTTGGCAGAGATTATTGTACATGGATTCATTTCAAAAGTTTATTAATGCTTTTTGGTTCTCACAATGTCACAGTCTTGAAACCCAAATCATGGGTATTTAACCTTGTACAAAATTGTAATATGATACGAAAGGGTTCCTAGAACTTCTCCGGTAACATAGAATCTGTTCCTGGAGCTCCTCCCGCAACATACAAGTTGTGAACGTATTTCATTCAACATTTTCATTTGAATTTTGATTCTGTGTAATTAGAGCTTGATTTGATGTTGATTGAAACATTGTTTGGTGCATCAAAGAACTGTGCCATTTGATGATGTGGGACTCACTTTCAAACAACATGGATTCACGATTCCTAAAAATTGGAATCAACATCTTGCACACATTGAATCACATTGTTGCACAACTATGAATTGCAGATTATGTGACATAGATATATAGATTTCGACCTTCCAAGGATTGAGATTCAGATAATAATCTGGAACGCGTTCCATGAAACTGGGAAACATGATTCCTATCTTCTAGATCTGTGTTTCATCTTGGGAATTGCAGATTCGCGATTCCGAACCTGGAATCGCGACCTTGGTACGCGATTCGGGTAACTATAATCTCATCAATGTCGAAGGGTCTATCTAGCCATTGGGAGTGGCCTAGTTCAGCTAAAGATACATCGTCTATTTTGATATATACCTTTCCTTTGATTGGAGGTCCTGGATGACAGCATTTCCAATAGTTATCATACTTGAACCTCGGACCCTTGGATTTTATTGCTCTTGACTTTGTTAGATCTTCTCCTTGAGTTAGCGATCGCATGCAAAAAGTTCGTGTTTGCAATAGCCTTTTCTTAACTACCATACCCTAGATCTTTGGCATTAGTAGATCTCCTCCCCTGTGAGGCAGTGTTAGAGGGAGACCCTTTGTTTCCTCTTCCTATCCTCCTTTGGGATGTGTGATCTCTCACTCTGCTCAATCTATCCATTTGTAGGATTTGGGTCGAGGATACCTCCGAGAGTTTAGTTTGGCTATTCCTTAGCACCTGTTGCCTCTTGACCTTATTTTTTCTTTTTGCACCTACAAGTTTTTACAGAGCTTATATCCTTGCACCCTGACAGGCTGACACCTATATCGAGGTTGGATATGGACTTCTCATTGATCCATAATGAGCTTGAAACGAAATGGAGCAAAGCTGATGGAGGTGCCGCAGCATCAAAGAGGTCAAGCACGTGGTTGGAGTAAGCTTTGGGAAAGCTTTGGAGACGAGGAATTTGTCAAGCCTGGATATGGAAAGCCAATCTTTGCTATGGTTGGACCATGTAAAGTTGGCCCCTAGTGATAGGGATATCTTCAACTCCTACTCATAAATAAAGGACTTCAAGTCCAACATACTGGCTGTTGGTCAATCGCTATTACCGCCACTACTTCCATGCACACACCAGGTGATCTTGAAGTCACTACCAATATACTTATGAAGCCCCATCGTAGAGGCTCCCCCACTCAAATTTTGTGAAAATGTCGCAGTAGTCAAGTTTGGCCCATCCACCTTAGTCAAAGGCCATCAGAGACTCGAGGATGAGCCTTCAGAAACTATGGTAGCCAAGTGTGACTCCTAGTGCACAATTCCAACCTTTAATTGTGAGGGGATCTCACAAAATTCAGACCCCCCTGAAGCACCTGAGGCTGGTTTGCCAAGCCATTTAACTTGTCCCCAGCCACATGCAAATCAAGGAGGGAGAGCTTGGTCTTTTGCAGAATGGGCATCTGGCCCAAACTTCTTTACTAAAAAAATAAAACTTTCTCTTCTTCTCAGTGTCCCTAAGCCCCATCACATTTTGGCACATCTTCATGAGGAATGAGCCAGTGCTGAAGTTAACCCTTCCTCAAAAAAAAAAAAGAGAGCCAGTGCTAACAACTTGGTGGTCGGGCGACTCCTAACAGGCAGAGGCCTTCCATAGTTCCAACAACACTACTTTTAGCTTTTAGATAATCTTATAGACATGGCTGTCTCAATCGCTATTGCCCCTTTGCTTCCTCCTATTGCCTCTCTCTTTGCGAGAGCTTCCCATCTGATCCTCTGTTCTCCTTTTCCTAGCATTGACCCAGAAGGCCTCCAAAATCACATCTTGGGGCCCTCGTGAAGGACATTCATGGCATCCCTCATTTTATATACATTGCTTTTTATTTATTTAATTCTCTCCTCCTTTGTAAGTTCATGGATTCCTGGTTTGTTGGAGGCCTGAACACTTTGTTGCAGCCTCTTTTTTTTAAAATCGTAGCAATCCGTTTCTCTAGTTCTCTTTTCTTCTTGTAAGTCAATTGACTCTTGGGCTGATGGGGGCCTTTTGTCACCCATGGACTTGTTCTCTGTGCTTTCATCAGCAATGTCTTGGATCAAAGGGAGAGGGGCTTTCGGCCGAGTGGACTCGAGCAGTCATCATCACTTCTCAACAGGCTTCGTTTGGGTACTCAGGTCTCAGGTATCCCTTGATTCTAGCAACTCCACCCATCCCTTATAAGCTCTATGGGCTTCACGGGAATCAGGGTGAGTTGGTGAAGGTCAAGTGTAGATGATGAATTGTCAAACATGGAGCATCCTAAGGTCTAGGCTCCTACACAAACACCTCTGACTCTTGAAGTGCCGCCCAGTTTGACTACTTGGGAAGGGCTCACTGACAAATGAAGAGGGCGGGGAGAGGCTAGTTTGGTGGTGCCTCATCTTTCTTGAGTGTCTCGCCAGAGGCCTTCTATTATGGATATCATGTCGTTAAAGGGAGATGAGATGCCATGGCCTTTTCTTTCTTTCTTCTTTTTTGTGGGGGTGTGGAGGAAGGGGGGGGGGGGGGGGGGGGATGTTGTAGGGGGAAAGGGAGGGAGCGATGGAGGTGGGGGAACGGTCTAGGACAGCAAGGGAAGAAGAATGTGTGAGAAGGGAAAGAGGAAGAGGCCCAATAGGGAGAGAGGAGGGCATGGTACTTGAAGGGAGTGGCCATTGGATAGGGGATAAATCATAGCCATCTGCTATTTGTTATATCTCTTTTTTGTCTTCAGGCGTGTACCAACAAGGACCATGGTTTCTGAAATCAATCGTTCTGTTAGATCTAGATATTTGGTAGTGCTAACAATCTAGCCTGTTGGTGGATCGAGCCCATTTCACTTTGTCGGGTCTTGCGCTGGCGTCGAACTATGGTCCCCAACATTGAAGGGGGCCTTGCACTGTAGCTTTTGATTGATGGCCATCTCAACTCCTCAACAAGTACCTTCTATGTGGATGGTGAACTGCAGTCCTTGTACATGACGCGTTCACCACCCTATCAACCAAATTTGAAATTTGGACCTGTTTCTACTAGACTCTAAACCCATTTATGTTTGCTGCACAATTCTATGATGTCTTGTTGGCTGTGACCTAGACTTTCTCTTCTTCAGCACAAGTACCCTGGAATATGTGCAATGCCACCGCATTTCGCTCTCTAGCCAGAGCCCCAGGAGCCTCTGTAGCTCCTTTTGTATTCTCCTTCTGCAGGCCCCCTACAACTTGATGGGAAGGTCTTCGACCAACCTTTAGTTTTTTCTTGCAAATCTCCCTGCCCTACTTCAGTGTAACATCATTGCTAGCTTCACACTTCTCTTCCTTCTTGTGAGCCCGACCAACCATTCTTCTGGTCCCCATTGTTAAAGGACGTGTCACTATTGGAGGAACTGTTTGCTTTATTGGAGGCTAGAGTCTTCTCCATAAGTTGGACCTTAATCCCAAATCTTCCACTCTAAGGACTACCTGAGAGGGGATAGGCGAAGCAATTTCTTTCTCTACTAGGACATAGAGAAACCCCACCAATCTTGACACCATCAGTGGCTTCCTGATCAATCGTTACCAGCTTGTTGCGCACTTCGAAAGTATGGGCAATATTAGCAAGGCGAATGGTGGGGGACAATCTAACAATTGAGAGAAGAGCCCCCGTAAACCTCTAATGCTTTTGTTTATAAATGTGCACTGGCGCATCCTTTGAGCTTAGGATAAATAAAATTTCCCTCATTGGATAAATTGGCAATCTGGTTTAGTGTTATCAGGATTGGATGGGCCATTGAATGAGCAAGGCGTTTGGTAGAGTCAAAGCTAGTTCTACTGCCGATCGAACGGGTGGACTGTATTTAGAAAAAAAGGAAAATATAGGATTTAATAGTTCAAAAACATAAAATATATGGTAAAAAAATGGCCAACTTTGTTTAACTGGTCTGACTGATCAAAACCGGCCAGTTTGATCAGCCAAAATCAGTCCAATAGTGGTTTTGACATGTTTTCGAGCAACCTTGTTTTTGCTTTGGAATGGACTGGCAAGGCGTTGGATGTTCAACTGGTCAGACTTGGTGTTCGGGTCTATTCTTGATAACTATGATCTGGTCTGCCAAGCGTTAGTGATCGAATCTTGCAAGCTAGATATATCACTTCTGAGGGGCAAAAGAACCCAGGTAGAACTCTCCTGGCAGCCACCTGCCTATCCCAATGCTCAATGATGTGAAAGAACTGCTATGTGGAATTCAATGGAGTAAAATGAAAAAATTATTGTTTCTTTTATTAATGTATCTGAAGTCCACTTTCAAGTGCCACATAAGCTGTAAACAAGAAACGAAACCTAAAATACAACCTAGGATCTTTCCTGTTTACTGCCAAAAGGAATAGACACAATCCAGGGGTTAAAAACAAGCTTAAACTAAAAATCCATTACATATAAAGTTTATGGAAATTACAATAAAACTGAATAATAATGGCTGAAATAAACTGAAGAGAGCCTGGAAGACTTACTTGACTTTGCCTAGATCCCCTTAGGACTTCGCGCACCCTACATCCGTTTTCCTAACTGATGGAGCACTTTGAGCTTCTTGGCCCTGCTGAATATTTTGAGTTGGGAAGCTTCCTTAGGCACCTCACAGATCTAGGGTTTTGATAGCATAATCGTGATTAGCGTTTCTAGATCCCTTTTTAGACCTCTCTAGGGCATGCCTTGAAAATCACTCCCCTTGGTCTTAATGTGGGCTGGGCATGCCCCACTTTGTTATCTTTGGGTGGCGTTCCACCCCTAGTATCCTCCTATGGTGGTGTGCCCCACCACCCTTTGCTGACTAGAGAGGAGACAGACAGAGGGAAATAGGGAGAGGGGAGTGGAAGAGAGAGACAAAGAGAACGAGAGGCTAGAATGACCAATAGGATTTTAGGAAATCTGTGAGCTGAGAGAAATAATTCTGAGCTATCCATCTCTTGGATTAACCATCATGATTTAAAGAGGAATCTAGAAACTTTATCCCCATATCCACTTCTAGTCAAACTAAGATAAGATTAATCAAAACATAAGCTTCTAGAATGCCCATATCTCTGGCAAGATTGTAGGAGTTAAAAAACAAGAAAAAAGGCTAGATTTCTCCTGATCAGATCTCATTGCGGATGTGGTAATAGTCCACCTTAATGAGGCTAGATTTCTTGCTGATGTGGCTTAGATGAACTTGTGATTTAATGTTTGTTAGATATCTACTCAGGGCTATTGACTCCTCATTCTATTTGATGTTGCTGATGTGCCAGTGCTAAGGAATTTCAGTACTTTGCATCTTTTTTTTTTCCTTTTTTTCTTTTTTTTTTCAGATGATTGGCACCCCAACTGAAGCTGAATTAGGATTTGTGAATGATAGTGCGAGAAAATACATTCGGCAGCTTGTTCAATATCCTAGACAGTCACTGGCTGCAAGATTCCCAAAGGTTCATCCAATGGCCATTGATCTTGTGGAGAAGATGCTGACATTTGATCCGAGGCAAAGGATTACTGGTGATACTGCCAGCTTACCCTTACTGATAATTGTTGATTTTTACTGTCTCACCACATTGAAATGAACCCAGATATGCTTTTACATAAAATGAAAAAATTATTTTCAAGAGATTTATTGGGCACATTTGCATGTCAGATAGATCCCAGCTTCATGTTTTGAAGTTATTTACTTCATTTACCCTATTGTTCCATATGACATGGTTTACTTTTTTCCTGGTTTGCCTACTCTTGAATTTGAAAATTAAGATAGTTAACATCGATTAAATGAATTTGAATGTGTATCAGACTTTTTATCACCTTGCCCCAGCCCTTCTACCCCCCACCCCTCTCTCTTGTCATGGTATTTGCGGCCGTTGTTTTAGTTTCTCTATGCTAAATTCACGCGTTCTAGCATTTCGGCTGAAGACTTTCCATGTACATTGGTTGACTGTTTATATTATCTCCTTCTACTGAATCGTTCATGTACTCCTATGAATATTATAAATTATCTTTGCTTTGGTTCCATGTTTCTGATGAGTCATTTTTTGTATTTTAAAGATTTTCTTTTTCATTCTTTTTATCTTTTGCATGGTGATTCTGATTTTTTTATTTTCTGTTTACTTTTCAAGTTTAATCACATTTAATCTATATTTTGATTTCATTTCATTTCATTTCATTTGTTTGTTTTAGTCACGGATGCACTTGCTCACCCATACTTGGCATCTTTGCACGACATTAGTGATGAGCCTGTTTGCCCGACTCCATTTAGCTTTGAATTTGAGCAGCATGCTCTCACCGAGGATCAGATGAAAGAGCTCATCTACCGGGAGTCTTTAGCCTTCAACCCTGAATACACCTAGTGAGTATCTCTCTCTCTCTCTCTCTTCCCTTTGGGCAACAAAAAGCTTTGGTTTCTCTCTCTTCAACTTTCTCTCTGGATGTATATTGACATGTGTGTATATCGGATACCTCTAAGAACAGTCCTCCTGGAATGTAATTTAACCCAAAAAAAAAGAGTATCATCTAAGATGTTTTTTAAGCTTTCCCCTTGAGGAAGTTTGGAAAATGTCTCTTCATTTGTGATATGTGAAAAATTCTAATGAAAAGAAAGAGCTTTCTTCATGGCAGAAAACTAGAGGTTTTTTTAACACCTAATACTTCTAGTTCTAGATGGAAGTGTCGTTTTATAATTGCAAATGGAGGTTTTCTTAAAGGAATATGTTTTGATAGGGCTGGAGCCCTATAAGAACAAGTAAAGCCTCACTTCAATGCTCTTTGACAATTACAATGAAAAACCTTTAAATTGATCACCTCGGCCTTGACCATTATGGTTGTGAAAAAAATTAGGATTTCAAACCTTAAAAATAGTGTACATCATAACATATATTCTAGACCCCATTTCACCAAAAAAATGAATGTTCACATATACGCAAGACTTGTACTCTTTACCTTCAAATTTTGTAGTCAGTATTGGAAATTCATTTAAGAACCAACATGGAGATTTCTGATGCCCAAAGTGCTTTACCAAGAAGGATTCAAGGTGAGGCTTTACTTTGGTTTTACAAAGCCTAGGCCTTATAGAAACTGCATCCTTTTTTAAATAATGTAAAAAACGATTGTTTCATTTGTAGAAGGTCGCAAGATTGTATAAATGATAATGGACATTCTAAGTAGCAAACTCTGTGGGGCCGTATAGTTGACCCATCATTCTCTTGCAAGAGATGTTCGAATGCACAGCTACAAAATCTGGTGAGCTAACTCTTTATTCGTACAGGTTCATGTTAGCTCAACAGCGTAAGTGCGAGAATGGTGGCCAAAGCCACACAAGAATAGTAAAATGGTGGTGGTGGTGAAGAGGGGTGGTGAATGGTCGTGTGTATTTTCAGACTTGTGGTGATTTGAGCTCCTAACCATCGACTATACCAATCTTAAAATTGGGGAAAAAAAATTGAATATGCACAGGATTGTTCCCAAGATTGGGTTTTAGTTGGATGTGCAGAGATAAAATCACTACATGACCGTACTTAAAATACTCGTGATCTTATAGTTTGACAAGGTTAATGGAGATAAGTTATATACGTTGATTCTCGATGTCGTTCCCTTGCTAGCAGATGGTTTTGTGGGCCGAGACAGTTGAATAATGTTCTGGCAGATGGCCCACATCTTTTTTATTTTGGTTGTTGACCTCATTGTTACGCCATGATTCCTGTAATTACAGTACTGTCAGTAGTAGCTGTACACTATGACAATGAGGGGAGATTCACTAATTCCGGTAGATATCTCTCTTTGTTGTGAGAGACCTCAACGTTTTAAACCTTGGGCTTTGTTCTGACAAAGTCTAAACGAGCCGATCTGACCTTTTTCTTTTGAGATCCACAATGCAGAATGGTCGTCATCGGACGGGATAAGGATATGGGAAATTAAATATTTCAATTCTACTCTCATTTAAAGTGATTTTTTCTATTACAACTATGAAAATGAGCCCCTCCTGACCTCGCCCTTCAGACGATGATAAACTTTTAGTGGAGATAGCGATCCTCTTAATGGTCACTGATATTGGAGGCTGGATTAGGATCATTAGGGTTTTTACTTCTAAACACCTGAAAATCTATTATAGAGAAACATATTACAAAGGGACTATGAGATTTACTATTGTTGGTACATTTCAACGGTAAGAAAATAAAAATAAATTGCATGCTATTTTTTTAAAATACGTGAAGTCTATTACATTTTACTTTTAGAGGGCGTTTGGGTACCTGAAAATCTATTATAGAGAAACATATTACAAGGAAATATGATATATACTTGAGTATACTTTAATTCAAAAAAATAAAAATAAATTACTCAAGATCTTCTTGGTACACTTAAACGAAAAAAAAATTACACGATATAACCACGTACACTTCAACTTAAAAAAAATAAAAATAAATTGTACACGATTTACCCAAAATATATAGGAAATATGAAATTTAGGTTACACTTGGAAAATAAAAATAAATTATACACGATTTTTTCAAAATGCATGAAATCTATGAGATGGCAGTGAAATCTAGATTACACTATACGTGAAATCTATTAGATGGCAGTGAAATCCACATGTGTAATCTGTTGTGAAATCCGGGTAGTCTAACTACATGCTTTTGTAAAAAAAATTCCTCTATATCACGTTGTTCTCCCCAACTCTTGTTCACATCCAATTTGGCTGGTAGTCCTGAAGCCATCAGCTCCCATATTATTATATCATGTTTTTAATTTTTCACTATTCTCCATATTTTCTGTTCTCATCCATTTTCTTGCCATTTTCTATATCGATTTCTACACCTTACTGCACATATTCATTTCTACATCTTTCTATCCGCAATTTGGATGTGGTTTTCTATATCTCTCTTCCCAATTTGGTTATGCTCCCCTGGTTGTAGTGTTCTATATCTCTTTATCCCCAATTTGGTCCCCAATTTGGTTGTGGTCCTGATGTCATGAGCTCTACATCCCTTTTTCCCCAATTTGATGAGCTTTCATATTATTATGTCATGTTTTTAATTTGTTTCATCAATCCATAAGTAATTTGGATTTTGAATTTTTCTAATCAAACCATAAGTAATTTGAGTTGATGGGTTGCAGAAGATTTGTAAGATCTCCTCATTAGATCAGTGCTAAAGGGATAAATTATAATGATTACTAAATCTTTTGAAAAAAAGAACAAAGGATGTTTTTGGGATTTGGGTTTAGATTGAGAGAAAAAATTGATAAATTATATTTTATTTAAATTATAATGGTTACACTTTTGAAAAAAGAAAAAAAAAAAGATTTTTTGGATATTAGCTGTATTTTGTTTTTTTAACATTGGCTTCCTTCAATAACTCAATCTAATTTTTAAAATACTTTATCATTTTATAATAATTATTTTTTTAAAATACATCACCATTTACTATTTAAATTACAAATTAACGATATTTGAAGGGGGCAAGTTTTGCTTTTCTTACAGCATAGAAGTTCTATCCTTCTTTTTATCCAACCCTCTATTTTGAACGGAGGGTTAGGATAGCCCCGATCACAATGTCACGTACTTATACGATTTTATTTTTAATTTTTTTTTATAAACTATTTTGACACCAAATTTTGGACAACCATTTCTCTATTAAACTCGCACTAGCAGAAAATATAAAAAAAATGTTTTCAATAAAATAAAATGATTAAAATACCCTTGAAATATTCAAGGGGTATTTTGGTTATTAACTTTTATCGAAAAATTATTTTTAATATTTTTGATAGGTGCGCCCCAATGAGAAGATGGCATGTACCCAATTTCATATTCATACAATTTGTATAAAAAAAACTAAAAATAAAATACTTTGAGATATCAGATCTAAGATCAAACGGTGAGTGGCTTTCTTGATCAAAATTGGATGGTTGCATGGTAGGGGGATAATCGAACTTCTATGCTATAAGGGAAGCATAGAAACCTTTCCCATTTAAAGGTCATGACTAAAATAGTTCACTCAATGTTTATGACCAATATTAATTCACATTATTAAGTTATTATTCTTTGACACTTGACAAGCATGGTATATTAATGCTATCTATAAGTATGCATTTCAATATTAAATGGGAATACCTACAAGGAGACCATTTATCTTTTGTGAATAGAGGTCACAATCATTTTCAAATATTAGATTGAGTCATGAAGTGAATTTTTTTTTTGAAATTTTGTATTGATTCAATGACACTAGTACAACCACCAATTTTGAAATTTAAAAGACAAGAATGATTGTACATACAAAAGATAAGTGGTTTATTTGTAGAGAATTCTAAATGGTATCTTTTTGGACAAGTCCATAAATCATTATGTCCAATAATGTATAAATCGCTATGTCCAGCAATGTAAGAGCAAATTAGCAAATTTAAATTTAAGGTGCAATGTAGGCAATTCTATATTACAAAGAATTTTAAATGGTCTTTTTGTAGACAATTTCATATTAATTCCATATTAAATTAGTATGTTCAGCAAACATGTAATCTAGTATATTTCCATCTATCCGCCAGTAATATAGGTTGTGCTCTGAAAATCCAGCCTCTACCGTCTTGACCCAAGCCCAATTCCTAATAATTTTGTTATTATTTATAAAGATTTGACAAGATATTTTCCCTAGTTTGAAATTTTCCCGATATTTTCCCTAGTTTGAAATTCTCGGGAAAATCTAAAAACATTATCCAAGAACTGCACAATCTTTTTAGGGTGTTTGTGTACAAAGATGAGTGAAGTTTATCTGCAGCAAAATATCAAGGCAAAGAAGATCTGCGCTCATCAAATTGATGCATATTTCAAAGGAGTTTGAGTTTGACAATGCATCGGTCCTTATGTATATAGGTAGACTGGATTGTTTTTTTGTAGAATTTGTATTAACGTGAAGTTCCAAAAACAACAAAAAGACGTGGATTAATGTGGGTATCATTTATGGTAAGACTTGTTAATGGTGATGAAAATTGTAATACAAAATACTAGTACGGAATTCGATGGTGTAATTTTTATCATAAGAAATGATTTTTGTAGAAAAGCTTCTTAAGATGGCTTGAGAAGCTATTTTATATGTTATGAAATTTTAAAACTTCAAAAATGGTTTAAAAAATATGAAAATCTTGAAAATGGACAGTCCGAGATGATTCATTAGAGGGTTTCCCAACATCAAAAAGAACTTTTTTCAATAGATTTTTGAGGCATATCTTAATTCTACAGTTTAACATTGCAACCTTATATAAGCATTTATACATTTCATGCGCCAATTTTATTGTTATAAAAGAAACAAATTTCAAAAATTATGTTAGAGCTATTTCAGATTAAAAAAAAAATAGGGCCATTGGTTTGATCCCCAATGTTTAAATATGGAACAATTGTTTCATGCGGGCTGGACCGCATTTCTACAATATGCGGTCCAAAGGTATAAACCATTCATATTAAAAATGGATGCAAATGGGTGGTCCATCTACAAACAATTGTAACTAACGGTCTAAATGTTTTTTTTTAATATAATTATTATATTTAGTTTTTAAAATTAATTTTTTTCTATATTCATGATCTTCTTGTTAAAGATTATATATTCTCTAAAAAATTGGAATCAAATTATATTTAAAAAATATATTTATTGCCAAGCCTGCATTTCTACAATATACGGGCTGGCCGCATGCCAACCATGCCCTTAAATATATACTCTTTTTAGTCTAATGAATAATAAAAAAAAAAAAAAAATTGAAAACATATCCTAGTAAGTGTTTTTTTAGAACAATTAATGTAGGCTGTCCATTTTAATGAGTTGTTTAGATCTAGGCTTTAGATTGATCTTTATCGGTTCAAAAATTTTAAATAGCTTTATTATCATTAGATTAATAGTATTATAAAGAAAAACTTGATTTTGAATTCATAAAGATCTAGATCTTGAAATTTACCAAATGGATGGTCTAGATTCATTGTTAGAGTGGGAGTCATTTTGACCAAATATGTGGATTGAGTTTTATTTTTTGGAAGTGATTATTAAGATGAAAAGTTGGCCTGCAAAATTTTTGGAACTAGAATGGTTTGACAATGCCACGGTGACATGTCACCTGTGTATATTTGTAGGGCAACGACAATGATTTCATGTAACGTTTGTATCATAGTTAATGCAATCACACTTCTAGAAAATCATGTTTTTGGCATTTGTATGACCTTTAATTTTGCACACACATTCTCGTCATCTTCAAAATTTGTACCCTCCAACAATGAATCTCGATCGTCCATATAGTGAATTTCAAGATCTAAACCTTGACAAATTCAAAATCACTTTATTTTGTTTTTAGCATTGTTAATCTAAAGATGATAACAATATATAAAAATTTTGGGAATAAAAAAATCCTTATGGGGACTATATCTAACCATCTCACTAAAATCGATGGCTTACTTTAATTGGTCTGGAAAACTATCTTGGGAGTTTTTTCAAATTTTCTTTTTTTTTTTGTGAATGTTCTTTAGAATGAAAAGAGTGTACATTTAAATATCTGTGTCAAATAAATGTTTCTAACATGATTTTTTAATGTAGTTACATTATACTACCGTACAACCGTTGCATGAGATCATTGCCCATCTTTGTATTATCAAATGGATGTTTATATTGATGTTGAATGTGAAAAATATTTGGAATTTTGTGATTCATGAGTCTCGGAAGATGAGGCTTCCTTTTCTTTATGTAATTTATTTGACTGGTAATTATGAGATCAGTATGAAACAAATCTCCCAGTTGAATTGGGCCCGCACGAGTCCACTCAGAAAAGGTGGGGGTACTAAGCTTGTTCTCATTCGATTTTGTGTGCAGGAGAGAACCCCTTTTTCACTTGAAAAATATGTACAAAAATGTTTTTTTTTTTTAGTATTTTTTGGATTCTTTTCAACCAATAATCCAGCTCTACACTCCATTTTGATCGAATCAATCCCT